AATTCTTCCATGAACCAACCTGAATACCCCTCAGAGCTCCTTTAGTTGACTCATCAACAGGACTAGCTTGAAGACACATATTCCTGTCATACTGTTGTGTTTTGTACATGTCCAGACAGTTCTGTAATACTGTAAGAAATTTTGTTCCTTGTGCTTATTGAAAACAAAATTGCATTAGTGATTTTTGTATTTCTATTATCATAAAACACTTAAAAAGTTTTCATCTAAAGTGTGAATCTACTTAAAAGTTGATATATGTGATTAGAAAGCTTTGAATTGAACATGGAAGGGGACATGCTAGGGAAGCTGATCCCTCACAGCAAAACAAAGTGCAGTTTGAATCTGTAAATGATGCGGCTGATCTAGGAGGTGAATTGTCACAGCAGAATGAAGACAATCAACAATTTTCATGCTGTATTCTATTTTATTTTAAAAATTTCTATATTTTTAATTATTATAAAATGGTAAAAAGCTCAGTTTTGAAGGTAGAGATGGGTTTTATAAAAAAAATTGTAAATGCTAATAATGACAAAAATTATCATTAAGTCCAACCTACTTCAGATATGACATGATCCCCCTCTATCTCCCCACCCCATTGACCTTTAACCACCAGAATTTAATAGCATTAAACACCCTAACATATGAACCTCCCTGCAAAATTTTAGAAGTTTTTGACAAAAGATATATAAGTTATTAAGCTTCAAAGGTGAAAAAAATCATGCTCCCACATACCCCAACGTCCATCCATACATACAGAAAAAATCCCAAATTTTTTTGCATTTCTTGACATTTCAAAATCCTTAATCCAAAAATATAAAAATCTTGGGGTCATTTTTTGACAAAACTTCATACTTTTCTTCTGTTATGTATAACAGAGCTGGAAAAGTAAATTAATGTGCTAATAATGTGTGAATAAAATGAATTTTTTCTAGGTGTTTTTTAATTAATTATTTTTAGCTAAATGTTTTTTTAATAATCAGAAAAACAACAAAAAACCAAATAGTTTTAATAATAAAACAATGAAATTTTGGTACATGAAACCTTTGTATACATTTGTTGCCTTTTAAGTGAAAAAAATCTTTTGAATAAAGTTTGATCTGTTTACATACACTTTGGTTAAAGTTTAACCAAATTGTATGCATTTTTAAACTGCAAGACTTCAATATACTGAGTATATTGAAAAGTTCATACAAAAAAATGCAAAATACAACATGCATAAATAAACAAATACATATGTAATGTCATCTATCAGGTCAGTCCATAAGTTCATGCATATTTTTATCTACAAAAAAAGCAACAAAAAACTTTAATTAAATTTTATTTCAATCTATAATGTATTCACCATTATTTTGTACAATTTCTTGCCATCTTGATGGTAGCTTTTTAATCCCGTCTTTGTAAAATGATTTCGGTTTTGAATCAAAATATTCAGAAATAGCCTTTTTTACATTGTTCTCATCCTCAAAAGTTTTTCCTTTTAAAAAATTCTGCAAACTCCGAAAAAGATGATAATCACTGGGAGCAATATCTGGCAAATATGGTGGATGAGGTAAAATTTCCCAGTTGAAGCTTTTGAGTTGAGCAGTTGACGTTGTTGTCAGTTAGCTATTGACAGTTCATGTGGTATCCATTTTCCTAGCTTTGAAACTTTTCCGATTTGTTGTAGATGTCTATGAACAGTTCCATGGGATGAATTTAAACGTTCCGCAATTTCATCAACTGTTAAAGATGGTTCTGCTTCAACTAGTGCAGAGAGAGCATCATCATCAAAGTCAACGGGTCTTCCAGTACGAGCCTTATCCTCCACACTAAAATCATTATTTCTAAATCTTTCAAACCACTTCTGCGCAGTCCTTACACTAATTACAGTTTGATTATGAACAGTATTTAATTTTTTGGCTGCATTTGTAGCATTCTCATCACTTAAAAATAAAAAGTATAAAACATGTCTCTTATATTCATCTGTTACTTCCATTTTAACGAAAATAAACAACTGAAATGCTCCCAATTCTGAACAGTATTATATGAATGAGATCCAATTTAACACTTCAGTGTAAAAAGTATCACATTAGACTGGCATTTTTAACAGCAAAACAAGATTTTTCTCAAGGTCATAAAATATGCATAAACTTATGGACTGATCTGATATTACACAAAATAGTGGACCAGTAATTTTCAAATATGTATAATAGCAAGTACTCTCAATAAACTAAAAATTTTAATTTTAATACAGTGGCATGTTCATTTAATTTAAATTTGCTCTGAGAAAGATATCTTTAATTGTATTAAAGAAATTTAAGACAATGTATTCATATGTGTAATTTATAACATTGTTGATTCTGTGGAGGTAAATATTTTTCTCTCTGGCATTTTCGATTAACAATTATCTGATATATATGAGGAGTGACAAAGAAAATTGAATAAGTCTGATTGCTGTAAATACTTTGTTACTAAATTGTGTTGAAATATTGATGTTATTTATCTATCTATGACAATTAAAAATTGATATTAATAAATATTCCATTAAAAATTCAGTTGCAAACATTATAACAAACTGTTAATGATGGCCAATCAGACAATTTTCTTCATAATGAATGAATACGCAGACATACAATTATATCTCTAACAATATCACAGAGTTTTATTATTATTTATACCAGTAATTTTCACAAACATGGTTATTCTTATTGATATAATTTTATAATTTAAAAATATAAGATGATCTTAATTCATCTGAGGAAATTATAGAAAATAAAAATGTACCTTGGTAAATGTATCAAATTATTCATCAATTAAAAAAAATAGTTTGACCACTAAATAATTATTTCTTTTGCTGTTCAATAAGTTAAAATTTGTAAATAACTTTGAAAAATAGTAATAAGAAGTTAATGTTTTTAGATTGTATTAAAAATTTTTATTACCTAACTTCTTAATTTTTTTTTATTTGTTTATATTATCAAATGCCAAATTTTTGTAACCAGATTATTAAACTATAAAATTTTATAACTTAAAAATACAATCATTTTGGAGTTTGTTATTTTCATTTGTGTAAAAAGGTATTTCTGTACACATATATATATTTACTTATTGCAGAGCTCTCAACTTGTAATTTTGAAAAAAAGCTGGTATCATAGCCAAAAAAAGCTAGCATTTGCCCACAAAACCAACAGTCAAAATTTGAATCAAAATCCAATGGTTTTGACAATTTGGATGAGATTCTCTAATGCAAGGCATACAGAAATGATAATCTTATTTAACATTTTATTTTATCACATCCATCTTATACTTTTCATTTTGCACTTGTTATACTAATTCAGTAGTGTAGAACTGCAATTCCCAAATATAAGGTCCAAACCACAAATTGGGTCACCAATTCTTATACAGTTGTTTATACACTTTTCATAAACATTTTCCTTGTTTAAAAATATAGACAATACTTGACTGTCAGTCACAATCAACAAAGTTAGCGGATGTTTCTTAACAATATTATAATATATGAAAAAACAAAACTTATTGCAGAATTTTTAAAATATGGATTTCCATATAGCAAGGTTTATGGCAAGCATTTTTTTGTATAATTTGCAGCAAAACTTTTGCAAGTTCAAGCTGTCAAAGATGGAAACAAATCATCCAATATGTATAAAAAAAAAATAGATGATTTTTTCAAAAAATATAGCTCCCTAAAATGAAGCCAACAAGTGCTGAACATAACAGACACTCTCAAAAAGTTAATTGTCTGCATAAAAAATGGATTGTTGAGAGCTTTGACATTGTAACATGGTTGATTTCTCAATTGTCTTGTTTTTTAACGTAAAAATTCTAATTTGCTTTGAATAATGAGCATGAGTGACTTTATTAAATTAAACAAGATCATTCAAAACTTCTTCTTCCAAGAACGTCAGTCTATGAGGCGTTAAATATACTTGAAATTATTTTAATTTACGAGCGCTTTCGACGTAAATAAGCACGTCGAAAGCGCTCGTGGCAGAATGGATTTCGTTTACCCATTGCCTCACGACCATGTCTGCGACGAACCTTATGTAATGATAGGGATGCTATTTCCACCCTGGAAAAATCTGGTGTATACTCCGTTCTCCTGCAGAATCCAATATCAGGACTATGCACCAATTATATAGGAGCGACTACGAGAATGCTGGCTGCTCGCATATCTGAACACCAACGTTCGGTGGCACTTGGCAATTGTGACACGGAACTTTCCAAATTGGTGATACAACACCACCACGTAGCGCTTTGGAATCGAGTGGAAATACTCAAACGCTGTGATGAAGGGAACTTGATATACATTTGGGAGGCCCTCCTCACAAAACTGCTCTCCCCGTGCAACACCCCTACCCTCGATTTACCGGACGTCTGGATTAATTTATTCAGGCGGTTAAAAAACCAACAATAATTTTGCATTCTCTTCCCGCACCTCCTACATGATTCAAAGCACATACATGTCGGCCCCTTTATGTGCGTCTTTTTACGTGTGTTATGTATTTTAAATTATGTCCCGCGCTTTAATATTTAAAATTTAAATTTTAACATAAACTTGCACTTGTGGATCTATTCCGATCGGTTTCTATGCTGTCTATGTTAAGGCGCATGCGTGCCAAAAATTTTATACGTATTTACAAAGTGTTTTAATTTAAATTCTAAAAATTTAATTGTTCTTAATAGACATCTAATTGGCTCTCATGTTATGCATGTTAAGGTGCACGTGCGCCAATTTTTCGCGTTCACATAATAATTAATAGCCACTCCAATCGATGTTTATTTGTTTTAAAACGCATGCGCACCAATTTTAAATGTTTAATTCTAAATATTTAAATTTAAAATCTCTTTTTTGTATGTTCAAAAACGGCTAGTATCGTTAATGTTTTAAATTTAAATGTATGGTTCGAATTCTTTATTCGAATTTAATTTTACCTGAAGACGACGTGCTTATTTACGTCGAAAGCGCTCGTAAATTAAAAATAATTTCAAGTATATTTAACGCCTCATAGACTGACGTTCTTGGAAGAAGAAGTTTTGATTGACATAAGTTGGCGTGACATCCAACCCGTGAACTTAATACACCTAAACAAGATCATATTACTTATCAATGTTTTTAAGAATATGTTTATTGTAATTACAACAATCTTAATCATTTAATCTTTGGACATGGAGCATTTGGATTCTGGCCTTGATAAAACATTTTTAATAATGAAATAGAGTAATCTTCCATAACTCCTTTAATTATTTCAGTCTTAGGATTATTTTGAACGTTGATTACAGATCCACATCCACCGAACCTTTGATTATCACATCCGTATATAATTTTTTTTACGCCTAAATTCTGCAAAGCTGCAGCACACATAATGCAAGGTTCAACAGTAACATATACTGAACATTCTCTAAAAATTTCATATCGTTCTTCTTTTGTAGTTCGACAATATTCCAATACTTGGTCTATACAATTAAATTCAGCATGTCTAACCGCAGATTTAGTTTCATTGACCGAATTTTTTCCCGAAGCTATAATTTTTCCATTTATCACAAAAACACAGCCTACTGGTACTTCTCCTACGTCAAGAGCAACTTTTGCTAATTCGAATGCACGATTCATATATAAATTAGTCTCATCATTATCGTGCGTATTTTGCATCTTAACGATAGTGACTACTTTACTTCGATAATCGATATATTACATTTCAACGAAATCAATTAAAAACATTAAAGGTGAAAATTATTTTTTTTCTATAAGTACGCCACGTGGTCAGCAGTATACTCAGAGAGACAGAGACCTCTAGTGTTAGTAAATATTCAATAACTGATATATTTCGTATAATAAATATTGGTTATTTTTATTTGATTGAGATATATAATGTAGTGTTGAAATATTTTTAATATATAAAATTATCAGAAAAAATAGCCATTTTATTAATATTATTAAGAGAGCTTCCTCCTCTTTCTGTCCATCATCGGTTCAGCAAGGCCCGCAATGGGGGCAGCGAGACATTTTTCATTATAAAATTTATAAATTAGATTTTACAATAAAAAATATAAATTCAAAAATGGTAATCCGAAGACTTTGTAGTTACGATATTTTAAAGTATTTGGAAGTTAATTAACGATTAAAATTTTGATTTATGTAATAGAAATATGAAAATTTATAGGAAGATGAAATTATTAGTTATTTTATAGTCTTGTCAAGTGGCTAACACCAATAAACGTTTTTTTTTTTAAAGAGATTAACTTGAATCTTTTTGGTGAATCCTTTAGCATGTTTTTTTTTTTAAACTCTTTTCGTCTTTTGGGCACACTAAAAGGCCACTTTTATTAAGCCCATTGAGGACCTGCTGGGTTCAGCCAGCAGGTCCTCAATGGAGCGGCGGGTAGTGAGGGACGGGGCAGACATATCCGGACACGTTGATTGATTTGATTGTGAAGACATGTTGGTACATTGAATATGTGAGAATCTACATACAGTAGAACCTCGATTATCCGCCCCCGATCAACCGACCCCTCGGTTAACCGACCGTCCTAGTCGGCAAATTTCAAATGTCCGCTAGTGATGTGGCGCTACAATATTTGGCTATGTCTTGGCTACTTTAATATTATTTTTACGTGTTTTAGCTGGCAACACTCATTCGACCATGAAAGGGAGCCAGTATTTAAACGAAGCTTAATTTTCTAATTTTTAACGATACAATAGCGACGATTATTATTTTAAAAAATTTTTGTTAGGCTTAACATCGATGAAAATTCAACGCAAAATAGGTTAATAGCGATATACTAATATACTAATTACATGGGATATAATAATATACTACACTAATAATGGATTTTTTCATACTTTTCGGTTATCCGACTTTTCAATTATCCGACCAACCCCAGTCCCCAATTAGGGCGGATAATCGAGGTTCTGCTGTATAAGCGGGCAGGGTCTGAACATTCCAGACACAAAAAGGACGAGGAGAGACGATCGTTTGATAGTGAGACAATCACGAACAGTTGTGATAGCGTCTTTGTTCACTATCCAGAGACAGATGGAAGCCTCGCTACAGAACCTCTTTTCTCGTACAGTACTGTACTTTATAATGTAGAAGGCAGCCGAATACAGAATAAGGTTAAAAATTGCAGCAGATTTTCTTACTTATGTTTAGAGCAAGAGTCACCAAACTTTTTTCACAGCGGGCCAAATAACAGAGAATGACGAGGACGGGCCGCATAACCATTTTGTTTAATACAACATACTGAATACACAAAAAATAAAGACAATCAGTATTTATTTGCCAATACACAAACATGATCGCTGCAGCAAGCTCGTAATCGCTTTTGTTAGAAACTTCATTGCAGATACTTACACAAAAAGCGCTCTGAGTCTCACAAAGTCGCCGAATTTTTTATTTTTCTGTTTTTTTGTGGCACAGTTTGCTGGCGGGCCATAGTTTGGTGACCCCGGAATACAGCAATTTTAACGTAACACTTAGGTGAATTGTCCGGGGAAATGTGTCTCTTGGAAGGGCAACTGAGTCACTATTTAAGTATTAAACATGTTAAGAACATCGAAAAAGTCCGAGCAGCCAGCCTGTCGCTGGACGCGTACCTGGAACATGCTATTAATGTGGCCTCGCACTCTGAGGGACCCGGGATCGATCCGGATGGGTTGAAAAACTCCAGAAATTTTTCAGGTGGTGATCCGTCTGGATATGTCGAATCCCGTCCCTCATTATCCAGCCATCCCATTGTGGACCTGGCCGAATCCATAATGGGCTTGCTAAAAGAGTCCCTCTTAGTGCCCACAGGGAGAAAAGAGTTGATCCCTGGCATATGGTAAATGTTTTTAGAGAAATCTCTCTCTCCAGCTTAATTAATGAAATAATAATGTTTAAATATTTCGTAACGAATTTAAAAATGCCTTATATGTTGTTTTTTCTTTATAACTATTTCTGCTCTACAGGCACATTTAGCAAGCACATTATGGTTTCGGTTAGGCCCACAATGGGACGGCCAGGTAGTTATCGGGATGGGTCCCCGAACTGTAGGCTGTCATCATAATCGCTCGGCCATCCGGCTTGAAGCAATGGAATTGATATAAATTTTTTAAATTCAAAAATGTTAAAACGTAAATGATGATTTATAAAACTTGACATAAATTCAATTCATTTTTTCTAAAACTAAAAAATATATGCATCAATATTTATAAATATATTGTAAATGCATATATTTTTTAGTTTAAATGAGCAGTTAAATATAAAAAAAATATATATTGAAATTTAAATCAGAAAAATAAATAAATTAAAAGTTTATATCTAATTATAGTGGGAAAATATAATGAATTAATTAAACGTAATATTAAGCGAAAGGAATTTTATCCGTAGAGTACGCTGCGCCGTGCTCTAAGCCAACATGGCGACTGGCGATTCTGTATCGGCCAACGAAAGCAAACAAGCAGAAAATAAATCCAATTTACATAAACAAACGTTTACCTTAGAAAGTATCCTTGCATGTATATGGTTTGTTTACTTTATAATCTTTATATCTGAATGTTATTTTAGATAAATTAGTCTTTACACTCTTAAGCCTAACATTACCAGATGTTTCATAAGCATTTATAATAATTAATCTGTCTTAATAATAATTAGTTTTTGATCTTTGATTAAAGATTAGAATTTCCATTCTCACTTCCAATTTAATTTAATAATTTTTCTATTTATGATGAATTTGAATTTTAGCATTTAAATACCTTCGCTAGTAGAATACTTTGCATATTAGTTGAAATAAGCATTTGTTACTTGATTACATAAATTAGAAAATACATTAGCAGAATTAAAGTGAAAATATTATAATTTTTTATTTGTCTACAGGTGTATCATTTCTTTCTATTTTTTAGAACAGAATACTAGAATATTTACTAATGACTGGTCGTCTTACAATAAGAATTTGATGGCCAAGTGGCCCTTGTTCCTTGAATGCTGGAAGTTTGGTTGTGGGTTTGGATGGGCTGGCCACATGGAGTTTTCCAGGTTTTCTCCATGTCTGTAGCACCCAAATGGGGCCAGTTTCTCTTAAAGACCTCCCAGAACACATTATTTCCCACGCATGTATGGCCTTTTTGTCACATGGCTGGCTAATTGGATGCACGCGTCTGTATCATGTTCACTCGGAGTCATGGCCAATATGCGCTGCATATTCCGTATTAACCTAGAAAGAAATTGATTTGAGTGAAATGTGAAGGCTAAACTTAGTTTGAAAAGCATTCACAAAAACAAATCTCAGATGGCATTTCAGTTTTCTGTTGTGGTTAAATAGTTTTTAGCTGCTTCTTGAAAAGAGTTATAGTTTAATTTCATACTCAAACATATAACCCAGTATAAGTTTTTTGAATTTGTTGTTACTAGAATCAATTTCAAAGTATTAAATTTAAAAATGATGTTTTTAGATCAAATATTTCCTGTAGTAGGGATTGTTTTTGGAAATTTTAAAAAACTACCATCCACCCTTCACTATTTCACCAATTTAAAATTTTTTTTCCACTTCAAATTATTTATTGCCATCAGTTTTACTTGCTAATTAATACAGGTGTTAGTATCTTTATCAGTTTGTAGTCTGGAAAGCAAAAGTAACATATTAAGCTGTCACTTAGAAATAAGAATCATTCTGAATAACACATTTGATCACATTGCTTAAACAGTATTTCACAGACTTTGTCTTGTCAAAATTTTTCTGCTTTAGTCTACGGAGAAAAGATTAAAGTGAAAAAAATGTCACTCCAAATAATTCCTCATATCTTCTGTCTGTTGATAAAAAATCCCAAATCTGAAAATGGTGGACAGCATTGCATAAAAACTGCCATTGGTTCTCTACATCACTTCCTGACTTCTTGTCCAAACTTGCTGCATGGTATTATGACATCACCAGATATATGGTGAATGGGACTCCCACACAGGAACTTGACATTCTTCTGTTTTTCCTGAAGTGTGCTTTGTGATTCACTTTTACTCTGAATGTTGAAGTAAGGCAGATAAGATTTTTATTGCCAAGTAGCAATTTTGGTGATATTTTAATTAAAGTTCCCTATATATGTAATTTTTTTTTTATTGCAAAGATTAATTACAAACTGCTGAATGTATTAATTTATATTATGTATAGGTTATTTTAATATGCATATCAGAAACTGGTTATTGACCAAAATTACATGATTGAAACATTTAAAACAGTCATGGCCATATAGATTTATAATAGGAAAAATAATATCCACACCAATTTACGCCAGGAGATATGTACAACAGACACAGAACCAACTTCCAGTGCATATAATACAAAAAACAAACACTGGCTTTACAAATAGGCATTAATTCCAATAACATACCATCGGGTAACTGTTCAGTCACATCTGAAGAACTCTGAAGGAGTTGGAAAACTTTTGTGCAGTGTTTGTTTTTTGTATTATATGCACTGGAAGTTTGTTCTGTGTCTGTTGTACATAGGCAAAATATTAAATGATTTTAAAAAGATTTTTCTGTTTTTTCTTCCTCTTTAAAGAACTTTTTCCTGTATCAAATATATAAACAGAATATACTGGATGAATTAGTAATGTACAGTACACCTAATATATCAGGATGTTTAAATGATACAATATCTGAGGATTGAATCTTAGTTAAGAATAAATAAAAACTAATATGTCTGATATTATTTTTTATATGTCTGATATTAACTTATGTAGCCAAGTACAAGAGCCAAAAATGTAAGAGTAAACAAATGATGAATGTTACAACAATGAACACATTAAGAAGGATAATTAATAGGACAAGATAGAATAATAATAAAATAAGAGGATATCTGAGAACATTGTAACAAAAAAATTAATGATTGAATACATAAAAGAAGAATAAAATGGGATGCCCATGTATCACACGTCTGCTGCAGTTTGATTAAAGTAGCCTGATGTGCTATACTATGCATAGAGTGAAGTCAAGATCAACCAAAGAAAAGACAAAGACTTAGATTTCTGTACCTATACTTTTAACTTGTAAGCAAGTCTTTGATGTATCATCTAATGAAAATGGTTTTTGATACCAAAAGAATAAAAAGGAGTCAAATTTGGCATTACCATATGCACCCCTGATATGCAAACTAGCAAGTGTTTGCATGGGATCACATCCACTTAAAAGGTGGGCATCCTTAAATATTAACCCGTATTTTCTGAATACAGTAGAATATCTGCTAAAACCAGATGTTTGAATTGCTCTACGTTTGGAAGTTGAACCTGTCTTTGCTTACTAGAGATGAAAATGTATTCTACTCAAAATAGAACATTTATTATAGTTTACTTTTTATTGTTCACTTTGAAAAATGCTAAAAAAGCAACCTTTATTGGAAATAGAGTTATTTCTTGGAGAGTTGTGAAGATAACTTATAGTTCAGTTTAATGAATTCTGGAAAATTTTTTTTTTTTGCTTTATTGCATAAAAGTTAATGTTGTGACAATGGCATTTTGCCAGGGCAACAGAAAAATTTATTTTAATATGAGAATTCACTTTATATGTGTTTGTTTTAGGGCAAGTTGACTATATTTGCTGGAAATTTATAGTATTTTGCAATCACAGTATTAAAGAAAAATTTTAAATGAATTTAATGGTATGATAACTTAATAACTGACAAAACTTTCTCAGACAAAATAAAAAGAAATAAACTATAAATATTTTACCACTCCCATATTTTAAAGTATACTTTCAATATGGCTTTCATTCATTCCATGTACAAAAGGACATATCCTCAACAGTAGCGTAGCGTAGGGGGGGCGGCAGGGGCGGTCCGTCCCGGGTGGCACTTTTTAGGGGGCGGCAAAATTTGACAATAAATAATAATAATATCTTGTAAGAATTTGATACCATTTTATTTCATATTTTCGTCCACCTACGACTCGGACCAATTGAAATGAGCACGGAATAGTGTTACCATCCATCCGGATAGTCTGGGAATCTACTCGCTGTCCGGGGATATCGTGCGCAACCTGTTGACCTTTTTTTTGTTTTTCTTGTACAATTTATTCGTGTATATATATATATGTGTATATATACACATATATATATATATGTGTGTATACATATATATATATATATATATACATCTCCAATATCCAATACAGTTAGATCACTCGCGTTACTCCTATCCAAGTCTCCCTAGTCGCTAACTGTAACTGATTTAGAATCAGCATGCACCGCACATTATTCTTCACATTGCAAAATGACATACGCATGCGTCAGGAACTTTTATTTGAACAAACCTCACCTGCCGTTCAGGTCGGCGATTTTAAAAAGGTGGCAACACTAGCACAGAATTTTTCGTTACTTATTCTGTGATGAAACTGAATTTTAGTCTTTTAAATTGAGATACCTAAATAAGGGGGGCGAAATTTTCCTCTGCCCCGGGCGGCTGACACCCATGCAATGCCACTGATCCTCAACTCCTTGGTTTGATTTCTTTCCATAGTGACACACTATACCTAAAAAGTTACCCAAACCTGATGGGAATAGAAAGCATCTGATATTGCTACATGTGCATGGTTGATTCTGCGTTATATTGATGATGAAACATGCAGTTGCCATCTTATAATGTACTTCTATATTCATGAGATCACAGAACACTATGAACAAGTAATTCACATACAAGCTGTTTCTTCTTTATCTAGTTTACTTCCATCTTGTTTTTCATATCATATTCCTTGCAGAAGGTACATCTGATTGAAGGAATCTCAAAATCCAGATTGTAGTTTCTGTTAAACAATTTAAGACATAGTAATACTTGCAGTTTTCTGCTGGGGTTTGTTTTTTTGCAGAACATTCACATCTTCCTTATATTTAAGAGTCTTGGGAAGATACTTTCAATGAGGAGCTTTTAAGGATAAATGGAATCAATGTTACTAAGTACCTGTTCAACAGTGATTACCTTAAATTTTAACCATTTTATTGTTTTGTTTAATGAAATTACTTTATTTAAATTATTATTTCTCTGCCATAATGGGAAGAAACACATCTGAAACTTTTAGTTTGTTGGGCTGCTATTCAAATTGCAGACCTATATATTTCCACTATTATCTGTCCATCTATCTCACCTCTCCTACTCCTCTATTCCAATCTCTTATGTATGCAGCAAACTTTCTGCCACTCTTATGTCATGGTGGCAAAGAGAGTGGGACAGCAGTTCCACTGGGCGTATTACCCACAATTTCCTCCCTGACGTTGTCCATAGATCCAACCTTAAACACCTGAGCACAAATCACGCTCTTACCCAGATTTTAACAGCATATGGGAACTTCAAATGCTACCTGCACTGTTTCCTAAAAAAGGGAGATGGTCTCTGTAACTGTACCATCAAAGAAAAAGATGACCCATTCCATCTCATCTTTACCTGTTCGAAACACACCGTGCACCGCCAACATCTGAAAGAAACTTTAACAAACAATGGTCACCACTGGCCCTGCCACCTCAGTGCCTTCATCGAAGACAAGGACACGTTTATGGCTTTCGTTAACTATGTTAACAAACTCCACCTCACGGACTACAACCCTTCATCACCTAACACAGTCTTCTCTCCAGCTCCTCACCTTCGAGCTCCTAAGACTCACTGACTCTTACCTGACTGTATCCGTCCACCTACTCCATTGCACCTAACTATTAAGGTGCCTCCCTGTTCATACTCCATCCGGCACCTTGTGTTATTCTTCTCTAGCTATTGGCCATGCTTATCAAAGGCACTATCTTTACTCTCTGTATCCTTCACGCGTTCTTTTAATCCATACATGTTATTCGTAAATTGTCCCCTCCGTACGGACGGTTCGCGGCTGGTGCCCTTATTCTCTTCTTATCCCCTTTGCTCTTTTCCTTCCCATTCCCACCCACTCCCCACCCTTCACCCCACCCTATCTCCATCCCTTCCTCTTCCTTCTGGTTATACCATCGAGTTAAGGCCTTTTCTTTACAAACTATAAACTATCTGTCCATCTGTCCTTCATTAATCTCAAAAATGAAGTTAGATAGATGAAAATCAAGACCAGATATGGAAAGCTTAGGGGCTGGAGGACCCAATTATGTGCGAACTTCTAGTCTGGACCAAGAAATCATGTGATTTTTCAAATTAAAATATGATTAAAAATTGCATCTTGTCATTACTACTTTATGTATAGTACTGTCATAGTTACTCAGATACCTGTAAATTAATACTTATCATCCATATGTTATCAATTGTCACCATTTCTGTGCTTCTCATAACCATTTGCATCGCAGAGAGTTGAAAAGGGACTCAAAGTCTGAAATGCATACTCTAGGAAATGAAAATGTGATTTTCTAAAGATTGTCCTGTTTCTAATTGATGGTGTAATAAGTCTAGTGGGAAAGAAAAGCCATCATAGAGCTCGTAAAATTGAATAAACATTCATTTTTGGCAAATAAGTTTCCAGAGACTGCCTGCTCATAAGTTTTGCTATTTTTTTCACCCCATCTTTCTCTTTAAGACAATCTATTTTGGAAGAAATAATCAGCAAGTGTATGTAGCTATTTTGGTTGAATCAGAAAAATTCTGCAAAATATGGCTAGGCAAAGGCAAACTTTCACTTTATCTCTACTCCTTGTATATCCTATATCAGTGTGTATAATATATGACAGACTCAAAAAAAAAGTTTTGTACATTTTGTGATCAAGCAATTTATGTTCATATATGAGAGCATAAAAATTATCTTGCTGTAGTTTATCAGTTTTGAATAGAACATACATCTTGTACTGTACACTCTTCTCTGCATTTATGAATGAATAACTAACTTTTAAACTCAGTTTCGTTTGGTATAAATCGAAAATTTTTTGATTCATTCCTGATGAAGGTCAATTAATTGACCGAAAATGTTAAATGCTGTAATAAAATAGACTGCATTTTAAAGGTTTGTAAGGTTTAGTTATATACATCTTAGGTAGTAAAATAGATGCCAGGCCTCTTCTATTGATGTGTCATGCAATTTTTTTTTTTTTTTTTTTTTTTTTTTTTTTTGCTAGCATACTTCTGCTTTTTTGTTGCCTTCTTTTTCCCGTCTTCTGAAATGTTGCATTTTTTTATGTTATTTCCTTTTCTCTCTACTGGATCATCACAAACTGACATTTCTAGATATTTTTAATTAAAAAGTTGATGAAAATGAATATCTGCTTTATTTTTCTGTAGAGGAAATATCAGGAATGGAAGTTGCCATCTTTTTTGTCATATGACTTCAAAAAGCTTGCCTGATTGGTGTATAGGAGGTACAATGTTTTGGAATAAACATGAGTGGAAGTAAGTCTCTTTGGAAATAACATCAAGATTTGCTATTTGCTAACAATAGCAAATAAGTTGTTTTGAAAACAAAACGAGCAATTGTTTATTGTGAGATTGTCACAATGCTAGGCTGCAATTTTTAATCATATTTGTAATTTATTTAATTTAAAACATATGCTCTCCACCTCAAATTAGTTGTATATTGCCCCTGTACATCATACTTTCCTTTAATAATAGAGTTGTGCCAATCATCTATTAATTGCTTTCAGGGAAAAACTTTTGAATTGAAGTAACATGACTTCTAGTGCAAACCAGAAGTTCATATGTAGTCAGTCGGGGTCTCCTGTCCAGGGTTTCCATATCTGGTCTCATATTTCATCTATCTAAGTCTGTTCTCAAGATTAAGGAAGGACAGTGGAAAATTATGGGTCTACAATTTTTTCAAATTGCAGGTCAATAATAATAATATAAACTGTTAAAGCAGAATATCAAAGTGCCATTAGTTTGCATTGTGTCATTTTTGAAGATAAATCATTAAGGAAATAGATTTTTATTGAATAATGGAAAAATTGTTTAATTAATAATTGAAGATTAGAAATGACCAAAGGTCTAAATGCCAAGTTGTGAAATGTAAGAAAAATTTTTTTTTGTAGAGAACCTAAAGACATGGATTTTGTGACCAAATCTTGTTTTAAACAGAAGGATGACTTAACATGTTTAGTTAAAAGATTTATTTGACACCTCAGAAAAAAAGATAAGACTTTTCATTATTATCAATGATTATATGCCACACATTCTGTCAGGCAAAGGGTCTAACACAATAGCTGCTATTTTTCTATGTTGCACAATCTTAGTTTTATTGTTTGATTTTTGACATATGGATAACAATGTTAGATCCATATAATATATTCTGTACCTTATGTAGTATATATGTTTACACAAACGTTAGTGTTGCTATATTGTGTATATAGCAACAAACAGAGGGAATTGGAAAATAATATTGACTGTCTTTGAATGCTACCTTCCAATAGCATTGCATGTCTTAACCAGAAATGTTTTCTCCCTTCTTTCACCTTACATTCTTCAGTTGGAACATCAAACTTAAAAAGGAACAAAAAGAACATTTGAAAAATATTAAATGGATCAGAAATAATTTAAATTAAAAAGAATGTGAAGAACATTCTTAATCAATAGAACATTCATACAATTGAAGTACAAGAGATGTAAGACATAAATAAATACATATTATAATCAAAACTTAAAAACATAAGTACAAGCAAACATAAATACAGCATCACTATATAATGTGTCACCATCAATAATGTGTATATCATCATCAATAATGTGTCAGCATCACTATGATTTGTATCAATCATAGTGATGCTGACACATTATTGATGGTGTGGAAATCTATATACAAAGTTTTAACTTGGGCTTAGTTCCCTGATAATTGTTTGTTTACTTTAATTGCTATTTTTATTTTATTTTTGTACTATTTATGTTTGCTTGTACATATGTTTTTAAGTTTTGATTATAATATGTATTTATTTGTCTTACACACATATATATATACACACTTTTCAGATGTTTATGCAATTTAAATTGAGGACCATCACTTTAACACACAATTAAACATATGTGGGAGCTACCAGACACACAGTACTACAAAGAATTAAGGAACACAAATACGAGGCGTGTTTTTAAAGTAAGTACCATTTTGAAATATAAAAAAAACAAGCAAACATTTTTAACAAAATTTTTATTTATGTGAAAGTCCATATTTTACACTACTTTTCTACATAATTCCCATTAATATTGAGACACTTATCGTATCGTGGGACCAGCTTTTGTATTCCATCCTCAAAGAATGTTGCCGCCTGATGAGACAACCAGTGCAGAACGGTCGTTTTGACTTCGTCGTGATTGTTATGGCGCTGCCCTGCCAGATGCTTCTTCAAATGCAGAAACAAATGATAGTCACTCGGCGCTAGGTCGGGACTGTATGGAGGGTGGTCTAATTGTTCCCAGCCAAATGATGTGATTAGGTCTTGAGTTTGATTTGCCGTATGTGGACGAGCATTATCGTGGAGCAAAACGACACCCTTGCTCAGTAAGCCCCGCCTTTTGTTTTGTATTGCACGGCGCAGTTTTTTTAAAGTCTCGCAGTATGCAGCTGAATTGATTGTTTCACGATGAGGCAAAAAATCAACAAGCAACACTCCGTATCTGTCCCAAAACACCGTGCACATGATTTTCTGAGCAGAAATTGTTTGCTTGAACTTGACTTTCCTTGGAGATGATGAATGTCGCCATTCCATGGATTGTTGCTTTGATTCCGGTGTAACGTAGGCTACCCACGTTTCATCGCCTGTAACAATACGACTTAAAAAATCATCTCCTTCGTCACTGTAGCGCTCAAGAAAAGTCAATGCACTGGCCAAACGTTTGGTTTTGTGCTCCTCCGTCAACATTTTCGGCACCCAACGGGAACACAACTTCCGATAATTTAATCGTCCGGTCACAATTTCATAGAGAACACTTCTTGAAACTGCAGGAAACTCTTTAGATAAAGATGAAATCGTGAATCGTCTGTTCTCTTTCACTCTACAGTCCACTTTTTCAATCAAATCGTCGATAATGACTGAAGGTCGCCCACTTCGTTCCTCATCGTGAATGTTTGTGCGGCCATTACTAAAGGCCCTAACCCATTTTCGTACCATTCCTTCACTCATAACGCTTTCACCATAAACTTCACTGATTTGGCGATGAATTTCAGCCGCTTTCGAGCCTTTAGCACTGAGAAAACGAATAACGGCACGCACTTCGCAGTCGGCGGGATTCTCAATGAGCGGCGGCATTTCAATAACACACAAACAACAGTAAACACAGTCGATTGGCTCCGTAATGGCGTTTGTGGCTTCCCAGCAGATGTAGGTACACAGCGCGCATGCGCTAAGTGCCGACTGCAGCGCTCCAGCGGCGTTATATTAAAACGGTACTTACTTTAAAAACACGCCTCGTACATACACTGTTGAAAAAAATCTTGTCAAATTATTTTGAACAGAACATGTCAATAAGATTTCTTGTGCTTTTTTAAAAGTAACTACAATAATATTGTTGTATATAATGTAGTAGTATCTGTGGCACCAAAGTTGTTTGTATGATTTTCAAGATATATGATGCAATTTCATTTCTCTTCTTTCTGAAATTCCCTCAGCTCACATGCATATGTAGGCATCCTCCCAATATTGCTGAAATGAACAGCACAGTTGTAACGAAACAACAAACAGAAGTAAAATATCTGGCTGTTTGTCAATGTTGGAACGAACATTTCTTATTACAAGTCCTTTAAAATGGTAATTGAATGCCAAATTCTAGAAATTGATTTCCTCTTATTCCATCGTTTTCAGTGGTCTCAGCTTTCCTTTCATACATTTTCAGGTTTTTTTCTGGTACTACTATTTCTCAGTGGGATTTGCCTTATATTGCACAATGAATAAGTTGCAAGTGTAACATGTGTCAGAATTAGAAATGCTGATTTTTAAATCGGAAATCCTCATGGAAGACAATGGAGTAAAATTTGTACATCACATTGCTTCTTGAATGCATTTGTTTGAATGCATGTATATGCAACTGATGGTCAAATCTGGGCTAAGATCTACTTAGAATTTTGTGGTGACAAAAATGGCTTTCTTCGTAAGGAAAAGATAAAATGTGATTTCCTACTAAATCTGTCATCTGTTCCAAATATTATTGCCTTTAGACTATATTTTTTTTGGTCATTATAAGTGTTATGGCCAGCAGCAGCCATTCATTATGAAGCAGATATTTATGATAGGTAATGACTGCTACTTTTGTGATAAAATAGATATTTATTATACAATGAACATATTTTTATTCTGAGGAATTCGTCAAAAAGTGATTTGATTTTATACAAAACGTGCTATGATTATATAGTTGATTAATCATAATTAGAAATTGTTTAAATATTTTAGTAATATATTTACTTTTGCATTTATAATTTATCTTCTAAAGTGTTTATTTTTATCATCTTATAAAGATTACTATATTATTGTAAGGTTTCTAACTAGTAGGCAACCAGCATGGGATACTGTTGATTGAACTTATCAGATAATTTAGTACATTTAATGACAAATAAAATATAAAATTTCAGTATTATTTTTCAGAAAATTCTAATAAATTTTACATAAAAATTATAAGAGAAGAATAAAAAAAAAATAAAGGCATTTAGTGTATTCTATTTTAAAATCATATGAAAATAAAATTTGTAAATAGTTTTTGTTTAATTATTAACAACTATTAAATTTCTAATAGATAATAAAAATTAGAAAAGATTTTCCTTAATAGTAAGTTCTTCATATAATAAAAGATGCTCAACAACAACATGGCCTGCGTCATGGAGATTATCAACGTTACAGGTATTACATTTCAATGGCGATCTGTTTATTAAAATATTTTAACTTTTTGTTATAAAAACTTATTTTATTTTACAGAAGTTATTGTAGTCGTCGATTACGCAGGCTTAGAAAATCTCTCCATTTTGTCCAAGGTACGAAACATCGATTCCAAGCAAAAAAAGTTACTGAAGATATTTTGACCGATATTAGATATTTGTACATTCCATTAATGACTGCAGAAAGAGCTTGGGGCCATGCCATGCAATTGAAACAGGAAGCAAATACTGAACCACGAAAAAGATTTCATCTAATCACTCGTTTGAGGAAAGCTGTGAAACATATTGAAGAATTAGAAAGTTTGTGTGAGAGCACAAAATGTGATGCTAGGACCAAATTAGAAGCTCAGGTTAGATTTAATATACTTTAAATTTAATATTGTTTAAATGAATCAATAATGTTAAAAAAAATAATTGAATTGAAATGTTGCTTTTATTTTCAAATATTATGAAAGTAAATCTTTGTAAGTTTCCTAATTAAATTTTACAATATTTTACTTAGGACTGCAAAAAATACAAATTAGAATGAGCAATTATTTATTTATATGATATATAAATAATATATTATATATATGATTACAATGCCAAGCTGCAATTTTTAATCATATTTGTAATTTATTTAATATAAAATGTATGCTATTCACCTCAAATTAGTAGTATCTTGCCTTTGTACATCATACTTTTCCTATAACAATAGAGTTGTGCCAAGCATCTATTGACTACTTTCAGGAAAAACTTTTAAATTGAAAAACATAACTGCAAATGCAAATACAAATTGGAAGTTCATATATAGTTAATTAGGGCCTCCTGCCTCTAAGGTTTTCGTATCTGGTCTTGGATTTCATCTGTCTAATTCCATTCTTGTGTCTTAAGGAAAGACAGACAGATGACAGTGGAAGTTTATTGGTCTAAAAATTATCATACATATATTTAAAAATTTTTACCACAGACATATTATCTGTTTAGTGAAGATTTTCTTTTCCTACACTAAAGTTTCTTGGACTATATGAAAACAGTTACTGTTATATTTAATTGAGAGTAATAACAGACCATAATCCTTTCTTTCCTGGGCTCTTACAGAGAGAAAATACTTTGTTTGGATTTTCAGATTTAATTTGTTTTAACTGAATATTTCATAAATCTTCTCTGAATCATATCTGATTAGAGATTTTACACTATTTGTCATTGAATACAAAATATTCTGTCACAAAGTTGTATGATATATCATATACTGGGAAGTGGAGAGGAATAGGGACTAGTATGATATGTTCATGCTATATTCTCTTTGTTCTTTACTGGATCTGTATTTAGTAATGAGCACCTTTATAAAATTTTTTGCATAAATAGGAAAGGTAGATAAGCATTCTGGGATATTATTAGGAAATGCTGTTATTGAAAAAATGTGTGTTAGCTTTGTACTAAAGAATAAACTAATTTTTCATTATTTGAGGAACTCAAAGCATGACATAACTTAAATTGGAATAGTCAAAGAGAACTGGAAAAAATATAAACATCCATTAGTCTTGGACTTAATCATTTTGATTAAAAGGTCAGTACAGTTATATCTAAATTATTCTGGAGGCAAAGTTTGGACATAGGATAGCATAACTATCTATCAACTAGAAATAAAAACAAAAAAAAAAAATTTTGAACCATCAGGGAATCATTACAAAATTTGATGAAGAATTCTGGGAGTTTGAAAAAGTTTGTTTTTGTTTGTTTTCTTTATCTGCACACTGTAATCGGTTCGGAGTACATGATTATCTTTCATTCATTATATAACAATAAAGTAAATTTTACTTTTTATGTTGGTGTGACAATGGCTACCAATAACATATAAGGAAATGCTTCACAGCAACTTTATTCTGTCGTTGAAAATGAAGAAAGTTAGTTTCACACTAATATAGTGAGGTGTAGAACCTCACTATATTAGTATGAGAGAAGACAGAAATGAAATTGATCAATTTGACAAAATGAAAGGACTATATCTTACAAGAACATTATCTGTGAAGTGTTACTAGTCATTTATTCACTTTAAATTGAAATGGTAACATTAATGATATGAATACTATTTGTTAACAAACTCATAAGGACTTAATTCTGCTGAAATTCAGGCAAAAAAGTGAAGTTGTGATTTTATTATTTTAACATTTGCAGGAAAACCAAAACTAACAGACAGACCAAGAACAAGATTGTTCATTCTCTAATTCTTTTTGTGGGTTTTTTATCTTTATGCATAGCCCATGTCTTTAGAACTCATGACTTTATAAATTATTTTCAGCCTGCTTTGCAAAAGTTGTTGTGTAATGACGTGGACAATCTTGCTTTACATGAAAAATCTGTTTTACTCAATTCCATTGCGGCATTTGTTATCAGGAGCTACAATAATGTACATAGGGGCCACTGCTAGAATGTTGCAAGTCCATGTTGTGGAGCTTCAAGGTGACATTGCATCTACTGTATTTTCTTGGATTGTCTGGCATGGCAGTCTATCTGGGAAGAACATGAAATCAGATATTTCCATATGGTAAAAACCAGCTTGCCAGTTTATCTTGGGGAATGCCAGCAGAAAAAACAAATGAATTACCTCCACATAAAAACATGGGTTTTATTCTAAAACTGTGAAACTGTCAGCCTTTAATCAAAAACTATGATTATATGAAAATGGCCTATCATATTGGGTCGAAAACATTAATGTTTGTTTAATAAACATTTCTTAGCATCAGGTATTTGATGATTCATTAAGTATGATTATATGTTTAATTTCTGCATTTTGTCTTCTTTCTAATGCTGTAAAATACTCATGATATGCCGAAAGTGCTTTCCTTATGTTTATTTTATTGTAATTTGATCCCAAAAATGCAAAAATAAACATATAAAATTTCAGAAACACACTGTAAATTATCTCAACTTACACTGATTAACATCTGCTTTGTGTGAAATTTGAGAGGAAGGTGTTATTTTTAAGGTGAGATTTTTAGTAGTTGTTAGTCAATGTAGCCCACACTGACTAACAACTACTACTATTACAATTACTACTACTGTCAATAAGTCCTTAATTGTTTTATCATCTTGTAAACAAACACTCACTTTCTGATTTTAAATCAGTTAAATTACAATGTTATTATTTTATTGTACTTGGAAGAATGTTAACATTTATTTAACTAGTTTTGTTAGATCTGATTAATTTTATTTTAACAAAGGTGCCGGTAACCCCAGGGTTTTCAGCCTGCTGGTGTTTCCCAGTTTTATGCGGCATGCTAGTCAATCCACAAAAATATGGTACAACTGAACTCTCAAAAGAATACTAGAGCACAATTATGTACTGCTTTGAGCTCATGATAGGTTACTGAGGTGGTGCTATAACAAAAGAATTTTGTTCATATGGGAAAATCTTTATATCTTTTTTATTACCATATATAATTCCCCTACCAGCAATATTCTGAAATTGTGATAGCATTATTTAAACAATTTGGCTCGTAGATGCTCACATCAAATTTTACACTAGGGGATTTCCAGTTTTGTAGATAATTTTGTGTAAACCTTATACAGGTAACCCCCGTATAACACGGTAGTTACGTTCCAAAAAATTGCCGTGTTATGCGAATCCGTGTTATACGAAACAAAGAACTAATACGAAAAGGAGGGTTAGGTTCCAAAAATTAAAAAACATGCTAGTATATTTTCATAATTAAGATAAATATCTTCATTAAAATTTTTTTAAGTGATGCATATTAATATAAATTAAACAATGTTTTTTTCGTCATCACTAAAAACACTATTAATTAACCGAGAGCGTTTTCTTTTTGGCAAGTTATCCTTATCCTCTGAGCATTTTTCTGCATTATCTTCAGATCCATGCTTTACCTTTTGCAAAATGTATGTAATTTTAGATTGCTTGCTTCTAGTTAAAAGGTCTTTATAAATTTCCTTATATGGTGCTAAGCACTTATGAAGAATAAAGCAAGTATGAAATAAGGGAAAAACATTCGGCAACATCAGAAGCAGAAGCGTTGCGATCTGTCAACATTGAAACAAGTTTCGAGAAGGACCACGTCTATCGACAGAAGGCGAGAAGAGAAAATTTACATACTTAAGTACTAATAGTTCACGAAAATAATAATTTTCGTGAACTATTATTACATAAGTATGTAAAAATTTATTACATTTCATGTTGTACGAGGGTTTTACCCAATTCTTTAACCGTGTCAGAGTGAATCTGTGCTATAAAAGTACCGTGTTATACGGGGGATGGTACCAATTCTCGAACCGTGTTAGAGCGAATCCGTGCTATAGAAGTGCCGTGTTATACGGGGGTTACCTGTATTTAGTTTTATTTTAGTTTGTTTTGGCTTTACAAATATTTGGTAAATCAGCCACATCTTTATATTTTAAAAAAAGCCTGTTTATGTTTTGTTCTATTCTTAAGTTTAAAAATTGTATTTGATTTTGTTGTCTGATGATGACAACTGTTAAATTGTTGAAAGTACTTGCAATTTTTATTAAAATATGTGTTTTTAATGCCATTTTACTGTGCTTTCTTTTCTATAACTTTCCTGGTGTGAAGTGTAAATTATTTTCATTAAAAGTATGTATTTCTTTTTATAAAACTCAAAACATTTTAGTGCAATTTTCCAATTATCTAGATATGATTTAAATATAGTTTGTAAAAATTATCAAGAAAGAAATCAAAAATTTAGTTTGATTCCCAAATTTCTTAATACAAATTCAAAAAACTTTATTTTAACTAAAATTTACATTATTTAATCTACAACGTAGACATGATCATCATTCAACAATTTAATTGCTTACACTATGATTTTAGGGAAAAAGCAAAACTTTTTTTTCTCTGAAAACACAGGAAAACTTGATTTCCAGTTTCACTTGCCACCACATAAAGATTCTTGTAAATTGTACCATTATTGTACAGGAAATGGTCTCTTTGCTATGATATTGTAATCACTTATTACTGCCGTCACTATATGTTCACTAATAGTTTTACTTGATTCGTTGCCTTTTTAATGTGTAACTTTTTTGTTAATTTGTATTAGGATCTCATTTAATGAGAAATAACTGTTTATGTTATGTTTTTGAGCTTGCTTATGCCACTAACCTTTAGTTTTTTTTTCTTTCATTACAATAACACTCCTTCAACTGCTATATGTCATCTGGCTATAATTTGGTGATGATAACTATAAATTACTAATAAATTTGACCTTAGGCACCATCTCATATTAAATTTAATAATTATGTTAACATTTAAGTTAAATTGGAAGAAAAAAATCTGCTTGGAGTGGACTCAAACCTGCAACTGCCACTTACCAAGCAGATGCATTGACAGTTATGCTACCTGGACCTCCAGTTCAATCTTCTCTTCCAATATGATCTCTGATCTCTGATAATGGTTATATTGTAATGTTAAATATACCAGAAGAGGAGATCAGACTGAAGGTCCAGGTAGTGTATTTTTTTTTTTTTATAAAACTGAACTTTGTCATTGGTCTCAAACATACATTTCAATTCAGAAGATGACTGGAGATCTATTAACTCCATCTGCAAATTTGTTGGAGTTGATTTCACAATAATGTTAAATGGACATAAGTAAATATTAAATATATTCTCATAATTCTTTAAATATAAAAATCTCTCCTGAAATTCTCTTTGTAAATTAGTAGTTTCTTGTGCATATTTAGAAAAATGTTTTCTGTCACTATTAAATTTATGTAATAATTGAAAGGGCACTGAATTTTATAAAGTTTGAGTTTTGCTATGAATGCTTTTATATTTTGATAACAGTCTGTGATCGATTTGTTTTCACCTTGAAGCTACTTATTGAGCTCGTTTAATTTTGTTGTGATATCTGTAATGAAACATAAATCCAAAAGTCACTGTCCATCATATAATTCAAGAATATTCTGGTCATTTTCATTCATAAAAATTTGAGTATCTTCCCTACAATTCCAAAATCTTTGTAAGCATTTTCCACAACTTAACCATTGAATTTTCACATAAAAAAGCAAATTGCTCTACTCAGATTTCAGTTCTTGACGATAATCTTGAAACTAACAATGCTTCAAAGAATTATTTTTTATTGCACTAACTGTTTTAACATAACATGGTTCATTTTAAATACTTGTGCACATAAATTTTCAAGGTGAAAAAACAATGATAAATGAAAAGCTCCAAAGATTTTTAACTTTTTTTCATGGTTTCTCTATGCTCAAGAATTAATTTAACAGCTCCAATATTCTTGTTGATCATTGAAGCTGTGCCATCTGTTGTGATCCCAATTAGATTTGTTAATTTCAGTCCATAGAGAATTATTTCGGTCACAATCATATCACTATCCAAGCCTCAAATAAAAATGGCAAGTTGAGATGTATCCTTAATATCTGATGTTTCATCCAAAGTCAGTGAGAAATTCACAAACTTCTTAGAAATAATGTTTAGCATTGAACAAATTTCATTTGAAATGTTATCAATTCTTCATGCTACAGTTTGATGTAATGGGCTGATTTGACTGAAAATCTTGATTTTTTTTTTCCTTTCTTTTTTTCCTGGAACAATTTCTTTAGCTGCAGTAATGATGGTGTTTGATTGAACTGTTCGTGAAATACATTTTGTTTTGCAGTCAGACTTGCCTTCAGTATTTGTAATTTCACTTTTTGTTTGTCACTAGTATATTTTTTAAAATTATCATGTTTTTGTTCATAATGTCTTTTCAAATTGTATGATTTTAACATTGAAATAGAGTCACAAGAAATTAAACATAATAAAACTCATTAACAATCTAAACACGGAATAAATAAATAAAATACTTTCTTACTGGACTACACCATATAAATAAAATCAAAACCTTTAAATAATCCAGCAAATCGTTTTTTAATATCTTGAAAACGCTTTCGAACACTTTAAGCGATCATCCTCAGTTATCATTTTGAATCGAACGAAGAATTCGAAATTACGTAAAACAAAATTCAAAAAGCGGTTACATAAATGTACGTTAACATTTACCAAGTTTAAATAATTGCAAAAATGATACAAGTTAATTAAATCGAAACAAAGAAATAAAATAAAATAAAATATATACATTCAGTAAAAATTATCTTAATTATTCTTCCCGCTTACGTAAACTACGTCAACTCATCATAAAAGGATATCCATGCTGATGACAATCCGTCAGCATCCCTATGATTAATACAGTTTGTGTGCAACTGCGCCTTGTGAATTTCTAGTTTTTCCAGATGTTTTATGGCCTGCCTGGACCTTGTAGCTTTAATGATCGACGCCCGATCCCAAAAGACCTCGATATTCTGTTGCTTGGCAAAGGCAGCAAGCACCATAGAGTCTACGTTTTTATTTACCGAGTGCTTATGTTCAGCAATTCTTTTCTTTAAGTTTCTCATGGTTGCTCCTATGTATACTAAATTAGAATTAAATCTACGGTCTTTTAACGGTATTGAGTATACCCCTGCCGTGTTAGAATTAAATCTACGGTCTTTTAACGGTATTGAGTATACCCCTGCCATCATGTTGCGTTCATAACTGCCTTTATCGTTCCTTAAGAGCCTGTATACGGTGGGATTACGCTTGTAAACTATCTGTATGCTCTTATCTCTGGTAATTTTTTTAACCATTCCTTTGAGGAACGGTATGTAATTAAGCACGACCCTTTCTTTATGCTGATTCCCTCCCTGAGAGGGGTGGCGCTTCCAACAATTCGCAATGAAAGCATCTATTCTTTGTCTACGGTATCCCTGCTGTATCGCTACGTTTCGTATATAATCCAATTCTTGGTATGTGTCGCAGATGCTAGTGCAATGCGTGTGTGCCCTCATTATCCATGAACGAAAACCGGCGATTTTTATATACTCAAGGTCTGCGGAGTTCCTAGGAATGACGATAGGAAGATAAGTGGGTTTCCGGTATATGTCCAGGCAGGCCATAAAACATCTGAAATTCACAAGAAATTCACAAGGCGCAGTTGCACACAAACTGTATTAATCATAGGGATGCTGACGGATTGTCATCAGCATGGATATCCTTTTATGATGAGTTGATGTAGTTTACGTAAGCGGGAAGAATAATTAAGATAATTTTTACTGAATGTATAAATTTTATTTTATTTTATTTCTTTGTTTCAATTTAATTAACTTGTATCATTTTTGCAATTATTTAAACTTGGTAAATGTTAACGTACATTTATGTAACCACTTTTTAAATTTTGTTTTACGTAATTTCGAATTCTTCATTCGATTCAAAATGATAACTGNTTATTTTATTTCTTTGTTTCAATTTAATTAACTTGTATCATTTTTGCAATTATTTAAACTTGGTAAATGTTAACGTACATTTATGTAACCACTTTTTAAATTTTGTTTTACGTAATTTCGAATTCTTCATTCGATTCAAAATGATAACTGAGGATGATCGCTTAAAGCGTTCGAAAGCTTTTTAAGATATTAAAAAACGATTTGCTGGATTATTTAAAGGTTTTGATTTTATTTAAACACGGAATGATTTTAAATTTATATTTACGTGTAAATGTGTAATTCTAATTTAAATTTTATTAGGCTTATTTTCAAATAATTTAAAGAAAACAAATCTCTTATTGTTTATTGGAAACACAGAATATCATTCTAACTTAAGAATGTGTGTATTGTTTGACATTTTTTTACACATATAAGGCAAATTTAAGGAAATATGATTTCATTATACTAAAATACCAATTTAAAAACTTTTGTTGTTGTAAACGTACTAAATAAATACATATACATACAGTATGTACTGTACAGTACAGTACATACATATATGGTATTTGCAATACATTTGAAGCTTTGTTAAAAAATATTTAATAACTGTTTTAATTTCTGAGTGTAGATGATAAGGTGTTATACATCATATTAATGTATTTAATTATACATGTGATATTTTATTGCAATAAAAATTTATACAAGGTAATTACAATTTTAAAAGGGCCACACAAAAGCATTGACTGGGCCACGGGTTGGACATGGTGGCTTTAGAATTAGCATAGCTTACCTTTTTAGCTTTAGTTTTACTTAGTTCATTTTTGCCTAGGAAGGTTCAGGTTCTGACAGATTTTGGATTTTGATGTTTAATATATGGATACTGTAGAAATAATATGTGATAAAATTCCTTAAATGTTGTACAGTCGATCCCCCTATAAGATCATTGATTTTTCCGTTTTATCTGAATTACATGTTGTACGAGTCACTTAGATTTTACAAATACGTGTGCCGGGCTGTGAACGGCTCACATATTTGTAAAATCTAAGTGACTCGTACAACATGTAATTCAGATAAAACGGAAAAATCAATGATCTTATAGGGGGATCGACTGTACTAAAAGAAACTGATGGAGAATACTATATATTTTTCCATTCTAACATTGTCTAGAATTGTCATTAACTTTGTAGAAATAACCATATTCTGTCTGACAATTTTAAATAAGAAAGATGATATTTTTTAAAAAAACTTCTCCTTGTAATAATAAATCTCTACAGTAATATTTTTTCTTGTTCCATTAAGTATTGCACAGTTTTTAATTTTATTTTCAAAATTAATGTGTGTTGATGTTAATTTTTGAAATTATTGAAAACATGCAAACAAAAGTATAAAATTAAGATTATATTATACATTAGATGTTCTCTTGTTTATTTTGTTGTCTTTGCCTGAATGAATTTACTAGAAAATACACAAAAATATATAAAATTAAAATTATATATTAATAGATATTTTGGAACTTAATATGAAAAGACAGTTCTTTAATTTTGTTTAAGAAATTTGTTATACATATTTTGTTTTAATTAGTTAGTTAATTATTAATATTTTATAAACTTATTCATAATTTCTTTTGAAAATTAGGCCTATGCAGCATGGATAAGAGGGTCACTGAAATTTGAATTACAAGAATGGCAACCTGCAATGGAGTATTTTCGGCGATCACAGTAAGTTAGGAGATAATTAAAACAATTCACTTATTTGTGATGTTACTTAAATTATATTTAGATTTTTTTTGTTTTAATAAGGACAATATACGAAAAACTCTCACAAGCACTTAATGAAGATGAGAGGGCATTGTACAAACAACGAGTTGAAGAACTTACTCCGAATATTCGCTACTGTGCCTACAATATTGGTGATGAATCGGCTATTAATGATCTTATGCAAATGAGACTGTCTGGAAAAACTGGTGGTGAAGATATTTTAGCAACAAACTTAGATGTAAGTAATATAAATATTTATTTTAAACTGATTAAACTATAAAATAAAAAATTTGTGCTAAAAAATTACAGAATCTTATTGCCCAAACAAGAGAAAAGCAAGCTGCCACTTTGTCTGAAGTTACTTGGTTGGGTCGAACTGTTCCTGTTCGACAGGAAAAAGTAAGAGTATTTTTACTGAATGTTCAAGAATCTGAAGTTGAAGTAAATAAAGCACCTGATTTAGAAGCAAAGATTGCTGTATATGAACGTTTGTTACTAGAATGTAAAGATGCTTTACAAGTTATCAAAGATGAATTAAAAAGTGATCAGGTAATGATTATGTTCAACACAATGCTAAAACAATGTTCTAAATTGTCTAATCAGATTTTGTACATATTATTAAGAAGTTAGACAGACAAAATAAAGTGGATGGTAGGACGTATCAATATAAACAATTTTTGGTCCTATGAACAGAGAGTTGACACAGCTTCCTTTACAAGATAGTCTCCTAAAGTTTTGGTAGTAGTTGCTGCTCTGTGATGTACAAATACCTTACAGAGAAAACTGACATTACTATTAAACATTTGTTAAAGCTATGTGTGGAGTGCTGTTAAGTGATCAAGCAGGATGAAAAAAAATGGTGAATAGCTATTTTAATTCTTTTTACCTCTATGTCCTTGTTGTTTCTGTGTATATACTGTCTACTTGGACCTTGTTTATTAATAGGACTTATTATACCAGTCTAGTTTCTGATTAGTAAAGAGAGGAGATCTTAGTCAAAAGTCAAAACAAAATATTTTTATTTTCACCTGACATGTAACGAAATCTAAATTGCCTTAGATTTCATTACATGTCAGGTGAAAATAAAAATATTTTGTTTTGACTTTTGACTAAGATCTCCTCTCTTTACTAATCAGAAACTAGACTGGTATAATAAGTCCTATTAATAAACAAGGTCCAAGTAGACAGTATATACACAGAAATGGCTATTTTAGTTTTCAAATAATAAAAATTATTGTTTTATACAAATAATCTAATACATACAAAAGTCAGATAAAATTACAGTCTAAATTTAGGAGGATATATCTCACAAGGAAAGCTTCAGCAACCCAGTTCATCCAGTTCTTAAGACCAAAATTGCTTGTATTGACCTCTCTACCACACATTTTATTTTATATGTCAAATTTCTTAACACCATGTATATTGTTAACAATTATTAATTTCATTTGATTTTATACAGAATTATAAACTAAAGACTCAGAGCCATGGAACACAGTATAGTTTGTCTTATCTTCATTCATATTTGATTTATATTCGACTCAGCAAAACGATAGAACGTAATTTATTGTTGATTCAGTCATTAAAGAAAAATTTGGAACAGAACATAGATAACAATTCTGATGGGAAAAAATCAACTAAACCACAAGATCTTATTAGACCTTATGAAATTATAATACAGGTATGTTTCATTTAATAAAATTTTTCATTTTACAATCATTGTATTTTATGTAACAATTATTAACTAAATATAACAGATGATATGTGTGAAATATTTCTTCATTTTAATAATTGATAAAATAATATTCAACATAGGTATCAAATTTAAAAAAAATTTCTTTGAGGTAATAATCACTTTAATCAATAATTAAATTCTAGCAAATTATCAAATTTCAATAGTGGTTTGAAAACATTTTTATTTGAAATGAATTACAGTTTGAGATAGAGGGAGGTCATGTATCATATCTTGAGCGGGATTGGACTTAATGGAGATTTTACTTGCTATTAGCACGTACAATTTTTTTTTGTAAAACTCATCTCCACCCTCTTAATTAATGTTTTGCCATTTTATAAAGATTAATAATGTAAAAAATTTAAATAAAATCTCATAACAGATGGTGCTATATACACTTTTAAAGTTTGGCCAGGAAAGTTATACCATTGCTGGATTTTTTAAGCTTGATATTTGAATTTGTAAAAATAACATAATCATTGTTAGTTGAAACTATATGAAAATACTGTATCAAGTTTATTTGGAGTTCAAGCTTTTCAAAATGTTTATTAGTGTTTTTAAAGATTAAATATAAAATAATCATGTTAAAGTGTAATAATAGTTTGATGTTACTTTCAAGCTACTTACTATTTTTTAAGTTATTGGAAAATTCCAAAAGGAATTCATATGACTGATCAGAATATAATTTCATACATACAAAAACTATTCAGAATAAAAACAATATTTATTTATTTATATAAATGTACAAATAATTATTATTTAATATATAATGAATTGCATAAAAATTCAATATCAATCTTCAGTGCAGGGAAAGAATGATTCCATGTTTGTATATCAATCAAAACACATCAAACCTCAAATTAAGAAGCCAGTTTCTTCTAATTTTAAAGTGTTTTCAAGAAGATTCAACTTCTCATTTTCAGCAATCTCTAAATGAACAGTAAAAACAAATAATTATTTTTTCATTTATGCTGTCTGTTTTTGAGATCACTAAAGATGAGAAATTGAATTGCCTCAAAAAGTTTTTGGAAATTAAAAAAAAAAAGAAAGAAAAAAAAGCAAAAGCTTCTTAATTTAAGTTTTGAGGTGTGTTACTTGCATTTTCAGTTTATATATTATAAAATGAATACTATTAATTATTTGAATTGTTCTATTTAACAGAAATATAATTTTATGATCCCAATAATAGCAGGAAGTGGTTTTTTTTTATAATTTTGATCGAGAGTCACTATGTCAACTCTAAGAAATTATTAATTAATGATTTTTTATTTGGTCATTTGTTGCTTATTGGAGCTTTTTTTTTTTAAATCTTTATTAATTTAAACTTTTCTCCATTCAACCATTTACAAATAAAAGTTCTTTCTCCATTTTTTGCTCACAACAGGTTTTAAAATTATTCTAAAGTTTAAAGCTTTAAAATTGTTAATTTATTCTAAGTAAAATTATAAAATTAATTTGGAACTGCTACTTTAAAAAAATTTTGAACACTGTTGAGTGTTACGCCTTTCCAATTCCTCTTGAACCATAAGTTCTATTGTAAAAATCTACACAAATTTAAGTTTTATGGGTATAGATAAGTTGTTTAACATTCAGATGACATGATCATGACTGTGATTGGCTGCAATTTGAACTTTAAAGTTAACTTGTTCCATTAGCCTCCAGAAATGATCAGATTTGAAGAGGTGTACTTTGGCCTCGATTCTGTCCTCCATCACCTTCACAGATCCAGTTTCTCAATTGTTTTCGTAAACTTTTTTCTTTGGTTGGTTCCAAAATTGTCCAGCATTGCAGAATGTTTGGAATGTTGGTTTCGTGGGAGATGTATCAAATTCCATAATGGTCCAACTTAGCAACTTGCGAACATAATGAGCATGGTCATGTCTGGCCAGAAGATGTATCCTTGGTCAGGTTTCTTTTGGAAGGATTCTAGATTCTTCTGAATGCATTCCTTGCCATACACTTTGGTGATGGAGAGCTGTGAAGGGACAATGAAGGCCTGTGAAATGCCCCCTTTGGAAACAACATTCACTAATAAATACTGGTACATATAAAATTATCTCATCCAAAATTATCTTATGCCCCACCTCTTTGGACTGATAACTTAACCTTAGGATCAAATAAGTTAGCGAGTGTCACTTGTGAAGAATGATGATAGATTTCCCAGAATTCTTTATTTACTTTTATCCCAAACAATTGTTACTATTATCTTTTAAGTTTTCAGATTGGTTCAAGAGATTTTAAGGGGTGGGACAATATCTCCCAAATCCATGATCTATTTTCTTGAAAATTTCTAGAAATACTAGTAGTCTGGGACAACCCCTAGTGGGCATTCTTTACAAATTCCCACGAGGCACAGTTTCTTTGACTTTTTTATTCCTATCAATATGCTCTACAGCTCTGTTAAAGTCCCAATCACATCATACAGATCTAGATTTCTATCTATTAAACATTCTGTAAATACTTTAAAATAGTTTACAAGCGAAAGTAAAAAAACAAATTAAACTTTGATTTTAAATGTATCCTCCATTTTTTCAACAAATTTCCTGAGAGTCAATACGCGATGTTGTAAATGTGCGGCGCAAGGTTAATCAAGGCATATAATAAGGCAAGGCAGGGCATATAATAATTATTTATACCATTCCGTGGTATAAATAATAAATTCATGTCAATAATAAAACCCTATTACAAATAAAAATAATTTATTGTTAATTTAAAATCATCGCTAGAGTGCCCCTAGTGGGCGTTTTAGGCAATGGATACCGTTACAGACGCAACAATGGCTTATATATATAGATTTCCCTGTTATCAGTTCCACATGTTAACAAAGAATATAACCTTTTTCCAAGGTGCTACTGCAAAATGCCATGATGTGAATTTCACTAACTTGAAAGTAGCTATCAAATAGCCAATATTTTTTTAAAATTAAAATTTAACTACAAATATTAGAAATAGTCACTAATGGTGCATAATTATGTATATGAATTTGCACATGAATTCCTTTACAAAAATTCTATTATTTAGACTAGCATCATTGCTAGCATAGCTATGACACTAGTCTAAATAGAAATGATGCTTCTATATGTTAAACAAATTCATTTAGTGGCATTATGTTATGGTTGGCAAGAAGATGAAAACTGGTCAAATTTAACCTGCATTTTAACACAATCTCATTTCTCTCACTTTACTGTTAACATAGGAGTCCATAAAACTCATTACCTGTTGAGTTTACAGGACTCTACTGCAGTATTTTTAAATAAAATATCTAATAATAAATATTATTAATGGTTCATGAAAAGATAAAAAATTAAATCAAAAAATAATTTTATTTAAATTATCTAATTTTAGAATCTTTCCGAAATGACACAACTTTCAGGAATAGACTCCAATTCAAACTTTATTGAAGAAGTAAATAATCAGATATTAGCTTACAAAGCTCATAGGCAAGTTTTTAAATGTTTTTGATCATAAATCTATATTTTTTTAATTTTATTTATGTAACTTTTAATTTTTCAGGTGTTACTATATTGCTCAAGCCTATTCCTCAGTTAATAAATGGGTAGAAGCAATGGCCTTATATCAGCGGGCTTTGGATTACTCTCAGCGTGCCTTGAAAAGTGATACATTAGACAAAGTAATTTTCAATTTTGTTAATATGAAATATTTTAAATACTTTAAATATTTATGGTAAATTCACCCTTTATCTAATTTCAGAAATTAACTACTTCGTTAAAAGAATTGGAAGGATTAATAGAAGGATGTAAATATTCTGCACATGCATTAAGTATTTTGGGAAAAGATCAACAAGCAGACCAATCAAATCAAACATTAATTGATAAAAAGGTATATTGCTTTTTGATATTTTAATTGCTATGTAATAAAATGAGATGTGGTTCTAAAATTTCAATATGTATTTTTAGACTCTCATGGAACGGTTAGATATATACTGTGAAGATCAATCCTTACTATCACGACAACCTAACATAGCTAGATTTCCACCAGATTTCAAACCAATTCCCTGTAAACCTCTGTTCTTTGATCTTGCTTTGAATCACGTGGAATTTCCTTCCTTAGATGATCGACTGGAACAGAAGAAAGGCGGAGGAATTACGGGTTTTGTAAAAGGATGGCTAGGCTGGAAAAAATAATCTTACTTTTAATTTATGGTTTAGGAAATTTTTTACTGTCTTTTTAAAATTTGTTTTATGCTGTATCTTAAAAATTCCTTTGATACACACCAGAGTTACATATGTATGTCCTATGTTTGACTGTGATCAATACAGTTTTGGTATTTGCAGAAGCAGGTTTTAGATGCTGCTTTAATTTTTTGCTTCTGGGCTTCAGGTATAACTGTTTTAATTTCCTTATAATTTGTTATATAAAAAGAAACAAAAAAAAAACTTTGTTCTTAAAATGTATCAATATCTTCCATTGTTGAACATAAACTTTATTAGTCTTTTTACACATCTCGTGAGAGGAATATTACTAAAAAAAACCCGATGTATTTGTAAATTATACAAAATAGCGATATATCAGTAATAATTACTGATAATGATTACTTTTTTGCTACTTGTTACTCTGTAAGGAAATATTGAGATAAGATTTATTGGAATAATAAAAGCAGAAAAAAATGTTGGACAACTTTTTTTATTATTCAATTTACAAGTGTTACTAATTGAAAATCACATGATTAAGTTATTTAAAATTGAATGGTAAAATATAAAATATTTTGTCTAGCCTGAGATTTATTCTTGTACTTTGAAGACTAATTCATACAATGCTTCTATAGCACCTTTGACAATTTTACATACATAAAATAAATACTAAATATATTGATACCATAATGTATTCACAATGTAAAAAATTGCACTTTATGTGAAAATAGAATATCTTGAATCACATTTTACTAAAATTTTGATGATGATTGCAATTTTTTGCAATAAAAATATATTTTCTTTTTTATAAAAAGTTTATCCTATGAGAATAAAACATATATTATTGTATCTTGAGATATATCATAGATTATTATTATATATGCAATGTTTTCCATTTGCAAATTATCTGAGAAAGTTTCTTTTTAAATATAAATACTTTATAAAATAAGGAACTAATTTATCTCATATAATGTAAAATTTGATTTTGCATATAAAAATCTTACAATAGAAATAACTCTCAACAGATCTCAATTGCAGTTTTGAATATGTATAAAATCTAAAAAACACTTAAAGACAACTTTCAAATATACAATATTTACAACAGAACATCAACTAGATTTGCAACTTGGCATGATTAAAACATTTTGTGGCATGATTAATTTTCTCCTTGATCTCTTTATCAAAACCTATCGTGAAGTAATCAATCATATTCCGAACCAATAGTTATACTGATTTCACCAGGATGAATGAAAGTCTCGTGATACCATTGATTGGTATCTATTAATACTGTAAAAATAATTAGTAATGAAATAAATTAATAGAATTAAAAATTTTTTTTTGTTTTTTTTAAAGAATACTCACTTATATCACCTTTCCTAACAGTGATCTCTATTGCCTTACATTCCGCTTCACATTCTGGTGGTGGTAATAAATGCCAAGACTTGGTTCCCGAAATCTGGGCTTGCCAAGAAGGTCTTTGAACATAATCTAACTGTTAAATATGAAAAGTCTAGAAATTAAAAGAGAAACTTTTTTACATAATATGTTTTACATGAACTTTGATTTCACTTACATGCATACTTGCTCCTTGTCCAGAATATCCCATAAATATCCAATCAATTGCACTCGATTCAGAATCGTCTGGCAAGAAAAATGGCCTGGAGTAATGTTGTCGAAGTATGGATGCTACTTCGGGGTTACAATTGCTCCTGTCATTAAGAATAAATAAAGTATTGTGACATATAATTTTTTGACAATAAACAGTAGAAACACACTAAATTGTTAACACAATAAGTCTTAATATAGAATAAATAACATTTTTGAAACAGACTCGCTCGGATTTTAAAAATAGTTGCCGTCTAAACTTAAAACAACTTTGTAAGTTTGATGGCCAGATGCCTGGGATTGAATCTGAAAATTTTCCCAGATGGACCAACTCTGAGTTTTTCAACTCCAGGAATTTTTTAGGGATGGTCTGTCTGGATATGTTGGGCCCTGTCCCTCACCACTGCCACCCCACTAGGTCTGGCCAGATTCACAATGAGCTTGCTAAAAAGTGCCTTTTTAGTGTCCACAAGATGGAAAAAATGAAAAAAAAAAAAAAAAAAGTTGCTAAGCACCTAATTGGTTAAAAATGATATAACACAAATGAGCATAATTACATCAAAACCAAATTTGTAACCTATTGTAGTTACTGTAATTATTATTTTTTTTCTTAAAATTGTTCTTTTCAGATACTTTATCTTCAAATTTACGAAAAATTTTTTACAATCAAAAAAGTATTTTGGCTTTAAAAACACTAGACCTCTCACTGTTTACAGGAACGGTTCCCAACCTTTTTTGGGTGGCGACCCCCTTTTTATAAAAGCCAAGTGACCCGCGACCCCGATACAATTGAAAAAGGTATTTTTAATAAGGTAATTAAAAAAATAATGAAATTAGTTTTTTAGTATAATTTTATTTTAAATTATGTTTAATAATTAATTTAATGAGATGGTTGAAATTGCATGTATTATTAACCAGCCTCAAAATTCGCGAGTGAGATTTTGTTAACACCAACCTCATGTCATTCTCAACATTTAATTTATTCCTCTCAAAACTCTCAACACATGTTTCAACCAACTGTGACAGAATAGTGTACCCAGATTACACTTATTTTAATTTTTTAAAAATATATGAAATTATTCAAACTTTAAGACACCATTAAAAATAAATATTGCATTATAGTAAAAATTTTGTTTTAGTTTACTGCATAAGTTGGTGACCCCACAGAAAACCCGTTGCGACCCATAGGTTGGGAACCCGCGGTTTACAGTAATACTCCAAACTTGCGTGATAGGTGGGACCGAGCAGTAACAGTGTAAGTCGAATTCATGTAAGTTGGGGTATAATTTCGCATATAAATACATACAAATAATTTTTAATTGGGGCCGGAGACTAAAGAAAACAATAATTTAGAAAAAAATGTTTAATAAAATCTTAGATAATACATATGTATAACAAATTAGGCCTATATTATTTTACAATTTTTCACATTTACTCGATTATTACACCATAATTTTAACATTGTTTCCATCTCAGCAATAATACCGTGACGTTTTCGAATGATGCTTGAATTTAAAGATTGAGCATTTTTCACAGCTTTGAGAAATTTTTCTTTGCCTTTTATAATTGTTCTGACCGACAATTCCGGCAGATCAAACTTCTTTGCCAATTCACAAATTTTCATTTTTGTATCAAAGTCTTTAATAATGGGTACGTTGGTAAAGTCAAAGGAGTTAAACGCGTTAGTAACGAATCGTTCGAAAAGTCTAACGAAATAGGAATAATGACGACTTCATTCTTGCTTAACTCGTTCGACTTTACGAACATACCCAATGTTAACTTTACATTCCAAAGATAAAGTTTTTCTTTTCTTGCTTGATGCAGAAAAATTAGTTCTACTTTGTTTGGATGACATAGTAGTCTCTCTCGAGTCTCCGTAGATATAACAAACACAGAAGTAAATAACACAAAATAAATTGTAGCTATGTGTCGATTCCGTGTGACACATCCGAACATGTAAGCTGAACAATAGTGTGGGGGAGTGAGTAATCAAGGGTTGCATGGTGCTCAAACAAAAGACAAATCGACGAGATCTGAAAATCGCGTAACTCCGGGTTTGCGTAAGTCGGGGTATTACTGTATTTCACTTTAATGTGTTAGATTTAGTGTGTTTCTGTTATTTATAATAGAAAAATCCATTTTTAAGCACCTGATAAATCTCTTAATAACAAATCTCTTAGTAATATAGAAATATATGTATGACTGTATTTCCATAATTAAAAATGCAGATAAATTTTAATCATTGGTATTTACACCATGATTACATATCACATTTAATAAGAATGATATGAAGACCTTTACATTTCAAATGTAATATATATATATATTTATTAATAAATGTTTGTATTTAATATATACAATTTTTTTTTTTAAATACAAAATTTGAAAATAAACAATTAAAAAGTTTTTATTTATATGTTACATCAGGAATTAGGTTAAGCTATAAAATAATGTGACAGAATAAGTTTAGCAAATAGGATGTAGAATTTTTGCATAATAATTCATGACAAATCCTGGATTCCATAATACTATAATAAAACTAATTATTCAAGATCCAGTTTTCAACTTTTATAAAGGAATTCAAGTAAAATAACAGTGCTTACAGCAAGTTAGATACAATCGCATCAAAAGAACGAAACTCATTCATTTATATCATCCCAACTCGGGAAGTTGTCTACACTTCCTGAGGTTTCAATGTCAGGGACATTCACATCCTAGATCACAGGATACTGAACTACATCCTGTGAAGTATTACAAATAGAAAATGTGTCATCTGTCTGCTTACTGATGAGTTATAAATAGTAGGTAATTTGATATTTTGAAGAGAAAGTCTGAAAAGATATTTATTTGGATGCAGAAAATTTTTGTATATACTGCCTTTTATGACTGTATATATATATATATATATATACACACACATACTATTAAAGTATATTTTATACTATATAATTACTTTTATAAAAATAAAAAACAAAAAAGATGTTTACAGAAATGGTCATAAACTAGAGAAACGAAAAAAGAAAGCATTTTAGATTATGTTTTTAAACATTTAATGTTTGCAAAATAATTCTGTTTTTAACTCAAAATATCTAAATTGCTTTATAGAAAAAATTTCAAAAGTTTATTTTATAATCTTGAAACTATACATAACAAAAAATTAAGTTTTTTAGTTAAACCAGAATTTCAGGCAAGTCTTCCAAATATTGATTAGGTCATTGCCTTCAAATTTGAATAAGCATCAAAAATAAACAGTTTATATCACATCATCTATGTTATGACATGCTATAAATGAATTATTATAGAAAGAAGTTAATTGAATTATAGAAATTATTATTAATTCTAATACAATCTAATAAATGCTTTCTTAAATTTATTGAACTATTCTTGAACTTTAAAATTTTCCAAGTTATATTTTTATAAAAAATTATAAACTCAAAGAAACTAAGTTGTCTTCTTTTCCATCATGTCCAATCATCAGGAACAAACACAGTTTCTTTGCAGAGACAACCAGCTGAAATTATATATATTTTCAATTGGCTTATCATCAGTGAACATCTTAATTGTTTTACATAATTTTGCAGAGGTGTAGCCTTCAATAAAAGGTTGTCTCTGCAAAGGAGGACTAACATTTGTTCCTGATGATTGGATATAATGGAAGGGAAGACGATTTAGTTTTTTCAAATTTTTAATTTTTTAAAAATATCCTTAACCATTTTCATTGAAATTATACTTTAATACCCGTTTAATCTACAATCATAAAAACTAGACAAGTTAAATGTGATGATGATAAAGAAAATAACATTTTTTAAAAAAAATACATAATTTACATCCTAGTTAACAAAGTAAAATATTATTATTATTTATTATGTTTTGTATTAGCTGTATGCAAGTTCACATATATCAATATCTATAATTTAAATCAAGCCTACTATTTTATTAAGTAAATGGAATTTTTTTACGATAATCTTTTTGAATCATTGTAAAAAAAAATACTGTAAATATAATAAATGAAAATTTGTTTTTGTTCAAGAAATTAATTAAAATATTTCATTATTATTATTATAGAATACATATGCATCTAAAAGAATTCCAAACAAAATGTCAAGAATTTAAGAGTTCTAAAACTATTAATATCAACAAAATGAAAGAAATATGAATTTAATGGTAAATGTTAAAAACAAGTGTATGAATTGATTATAAGAACTATTGGTTTATATGCTTATTTTCAGTTTTATGTAGAGAAATGAAATAAAAAAAATAAGAGATTTTAATAATAATATGAATAGAATAAATTGCATATAAAATTTATAAAATATGATTCTCATAATAACAAGAGTTTTGAATGGTTTCGATTAATCAATATTATATACAATATTTAGTAAATATTAATGCAAACATTAAGTATTAGACATAATGATGAATGCTAATTATTAAATTTAATGATGAATGAAAGTATGCAATTTTTTTATAATTTTAAAATGCTGTGATGCATATTTCCTGTTTATTTGCATGTTTCCACTACAATTGAAAAGTTTCAATAAAAATTGAACAATAAAATAATCTTAGAAATGTTTTTGGTTTATGAATTCATCAGTTAAATAAATAAACTATTTTCATTTATCTTAAACATCACTGAACTAACAAGAATACTTTGAAAGCATGCATCCTTAATCTTAAATATAAATACAGTAAACCCCAGCTAACTTGGACTTTGCACAACTCAGACATGTTTATTTGAAAAATTGTAATTTAATTTAATTTCTTAATTATAATTTTTCTATTGTCAAGTGTTTTCAATATCTGAAAATCTTTGTGATATGCATTATATTAATTGAGTCAGTAAGTTACTAAAGATTGTACATTGCTAGAGACTGTGATCATGAAATTTTTGAGCTGTAATAACTTTTGCACTATAACTTACTAAAGCTTGGTAAAACTTCTGTATAGAACCGATCATAAAAAATTACTATACTGTATATCCACCTTCTCGTTTTCCATGCTGTCAGAGAAAGCAGCCCACTAATTCAGATTTTAATAAATTTCAACAAACTTTAACCCCTATTAGTCAGAGTTAGCAAGCATTTACTGTATTTAAGAACGTGTA